CCTGACAGCTAATGAGAGTTAGTGGCTGAAATAGCATAAGCTGTGCCTTTGAATGCGTGCAAGATAGTGCAATAAAATTATGTTTCTCTGAACATATCATCGCTTACAGAATGCGAAACAATATTTTTTACAAAATGGATAAAATGCAGAGATTTGCCTTGAGAGCTAGCGTTAAACTTTAGAGTCTAAGTGATTAGTATGGAAGACCATCTAATAAGATCAGTCGATAAGAGAAAAATGAACGAATAGTCACGGAAATAAAGGAGCATAAGGACATTAGGTGGGAAGTAGAATCATACATACGTGGTATCATAAGAAGAAATTATCAAATAAGATATATAATAGACCGGGTTAGAGCCCCGCCGTAGGTGCTACGCGAGGTAGAAACTGCCGCCCATCATATCTTTTGAAAAATTCTATGTGAACCTGAGGCCTACCAATAGCAGAGTGAAAACTCAATCGGGTGAACACAGTTCATATTCAAGATTTACTGAATCTTGAAAGCCTACTCAAAAACTTATAAAATTAAGTATTTTTTGATATCTTCAAAAACATCATTCTGCATCAATGGAGCTTCTGTCAACAGTGTTTCGAATGGGAAATTTCGCAGGCTCTGTAAGGCATTTTAGTGGATTAATAGGAAATAAATTAGAAAAAAAGTAAGGATCCAATTATAATATGGCTTTTTTGCGAAAATTAATATTGTAAAGTACTTGCAAGAAAATTGCAGGAAAATGAGGGCTAGCTTCTATATTGTTAATAAGCAAAATGATTGGCAGACAGTCACTTACCTGAGCAAACACAGTTTTTTCTGGTGAGAAATCCCCAGAGGTAGAATCAGGCGGGTTGTTTATTGTAATATTCTTCTCGGAAGATAGGTCTTGGGGAAGATGGATTGCATCCTGAGTGTTATGATTCTTCTCGAGGGTGACCTGGCGGCACATCAAAGAATGCATTCGATTCACCTGAATCTCGGGGCCATGCGGTCGATTGAGCTTCATGCTAGACTGAAGCATTAGGCGCAACAGGTTCTCCTGAAGAAGAGAACAAAGTACAGAAATTAGACATATAACCTGAGAAACTAAAATCACAAAGCAAAATAAGTAATGGTTCATTTTCTACAGTCTCTTCAGACATAGGTGTCTACATCTAATCTGAGAAAAAAGATCTGTCTGCTTTCCTCCTTTTCCGGAAAAATTAAATCGTAACCCCATATGGAATGCATGCACTACTAGAAAGCAGTACTTTGATTTCAAAGAACCATGTTGAAGCCGCTTCTGCTAATTCGTTGTTGCGACAATCTAAAAAATTGAATTTTGAAATATCACAAATTTCTTAGGATTTATACCGCACCGGTCAGATCTTACCATCAATATACCACCAAC